CGGGAGGCCTCCCTGACCCAGGACAGTCACCATGCTGGCGTATGACTCTGGAGACAGAGTTGATGCTGACGTTGGTCCCACAACCACTGCATGTGCCTCTCCTTTGACTGGCTTCGGGAGGGGTGAGCTGGCTGGTAGCAGCTTCTTCTGCCATCTCCTTAGGTAAAGTGAATGTCACCTTGCACTGGAGTATTTGTCTCTCCCTCCTGGCTGGGGGGGACGAGGTTGTCCCCTATACTATGCGTCATGTCTGGGCAGATGTCTGGGGTGGGTGGGCTCGTGGAGGTGGTGGGTGGGGGTTGGGAGGCTGCGCGCTGGCCCGGTCTGGGAGGGGGGCCGGGGAGGGAAGGCGCGACCACCTGATCGTGGGAGGTGGGGCCGGGGGAGCGGAAGACACTGCACCACACGGAGGGGGGGGGGGAGACACTCTGTCTATATATATATATATATATATATATATATATATATACATGCATATTATATAGTACCACTAAATACCACTATAATATAAATATACCACTCTATATATACCAGGCCACTGTGTACATATATTATATATTATATATATATATATATATATATATATATATATATATATATATATATATATATATTTATTTATTTATTTATTTTCAAAATTATACATGATGAATACCATCTTACTTCATAGATATAACTTGTTAAGAGCGAAAAACTAAGAAAAAACTGAGAAACATTGAAAATAAATCGGCAAAGTTATTCCCATACGTCTCATCTCATTTTTACCAAAAAAAAAAAAAAAATGCAATTTCTGCAGGCCACTATGGCTAAACTACAAGAGGTAGACTTGTTACTTGGATTTTTGTGCTTTCTGGGGGCTAATTAACAATACCAAAAGAAAAAATACTATTTTCGGAATGTTATTTTAAAAGGTACGCAGTGCAGGGGTTAAAAAGTTGCTCTAGTAAAAAATGTGTAATATGATTATAATAAAACAAAGATCATGAGTGACAACATGAATTTATTAAACAGTGTAGGCCTGTGTATGGCAAGGCAGCTATCTGTAGTTGTATGTCTACAGGAATGAATGTACATGTCTCAATAATATGTTCAGAAATTTTTTGTACAAAAATATACATCCAGGACCATACCTGGTGTGGATTCTGGGAGTTCTTCTACTCCCTAAGCCCAGCATGTATATGTGTGTGATCAGATTAGGCCCAGGTGCCCATGCAAAGGACACCCAGACAGTCAGTCACACATACACACACATGTACGCAAATACTGACAAATAGAAATATAGACTTACAAAGTAAGCCTGCCATATTATGAAGGAATGAAAAATTAAACATGCCTGGGATAGGCAAACTAGACAGACTTGAACACAGGATTAGTTGGACTATTCTTGTGTCATGACATTTCTCCAGTAGTTAGCGATATGACAGGATTATGAACGTAACGTCACACCACACTTCTGGCAACCCAACTACTATATGTACTGTAAGGTCAGTGTTGAGCCAGAATTATTAAGTCAATCACTAGCTTCTCTACCAGAAAAATTTATATCAATACACAGCAACGTCCTTATTGTTATACCTGTTTGATATTCCTTGTCTAGTAACCCTTGAACATCAATACTGTATATACCTACATGAATAGGTGTATAAAGCATATGTGTGTGAATTTATAATGAAAGCACAGTATATACTTCAGTTCTGGACTATATTTAGAACTAAAGCACACCAACTAGTTGGCCAGTGAGATTTTACTGTATGCTGGGCTTAACCCTACAGACATTGTGCTGGTGTTAGGTAGGGTATGTGGATCAGTGGGTTTTTTGGTGGGTGGGTATGTGTAGGTGGATGGGGGGAGGGGACCAGGTACAGTGCAAAAATAATATGATTAGGACTAAGATACTGAGCCTATTAGGCCTATGTCAGAACAATCATCATGGGAGAAGTCAGTTGCCAAAGGTGACTCCTTGATGCTTGCTACCAGGTAAACCCCAACCAATTCAATCCACAGTAGGCCTTTGTAAGTTACTGTAAGCCTCGTGGGGACCACAGGTCAAAACCTGGCCCCTCTGAAAAGGCACAAGGAGCAGGGTATCTTGGATCATCCTAACCAAGAAACGGCAACAAGAAAGGCTAGAAAACCAAGCAAAACAAACAGTAAAGTAAACAAAGCATAGAAAACGAGACAGCAGAGCTCCGAGGCTAACAAATCGCCTAGTTGTGAAACAGTTCTCTATTAGTTCTACCTATGCACCACCAGGGAAATGCACACCTTCCTCCTCTATGCACCACCAGGGGAATGCACACCTTCCTCCTCTATGCACCACCAGGGGAATACACACCATCCTCTTCTATGCACCACCAGGGGAATGCACACCTTCCTCCTCTATGCACCACCAGGGGAATACACACCATCCTCTTCTATGCACCACCAGGGGAATGCACACCTTCCTTCTCAATCCCCCAGCCTTGAACCTCATTTATTTTGCTTAGCGCTCATGATGTCACTGTTACACTCCTCACTTCCAACATCTTCAAGTCACGCCAATGCACAGGCATGCCACAATTAATAATAATAATGCAAAGTTAAAACAAAATCTAGTTAACCCATTTTGTTATGAATATAAAACAGTACTGCACATTCAATCGATCAAGTATAGTAGTGATAAATGTTGGATATATTATCATTTGCATTTTAACAAGATCATACTTAATGAAAATCTTGCCTAGAGAAAACTATCCCCATTTTATATAAATTTATAGTTTAGGCTTAAGTGTAAACTGCTGTGTGAAAATTTAATCTAAAAGAAAAATTCAGTAGCCTTCAGCAATCCAATTGTTTCATAGATTTCATGTCTGCACTATAAAAGTATTCCTCTATGCTAATGCTAATATTATTAAGATTAACATTAAGAGCAAACATAAAAACTTAACCAATCTCGGATTATAAATATTATTCATAATGTTGAAACAAACGGTTCACACATTCAATGCTCTCTCTATACAGAGTCAATAGCAAGTAACATTTAATAATCCTTGAATTCTAAGTACAGTACAGCTGCACACCACTGTGAATGACTATTATATTGTTTAGGGAACATATATAAACAGTATATAGTATGTACAGTACTGCATATCAAACATTACTACTATATATTTATTATAAAATATTCAGAATTCTCTGGAACTTAATTAAATTTAAGAAACTTGTGTGCAATAAACTAATAAGTTTTTACTGGATAAATATACAATATATTAAGATTTGAGGGATAGCATGTATGTAACTTTCCAAATACATTCTTTGACAGAATATACGTAACCTTACAAGATTACTGTAATCACATTATTTATAGATATTGTAGACTATTGTCATTGATCGGTGAAAGTACTGGTCAATACAACTACCTTTCATGTTGTATTACAATTTTTTTTTCATTAGAAACCAAAATGACCCCAGAGTTAAAGCTGATGTCCAATACCTTACACACACAACAAGGTTTGGATAGATCTGTTTAAAGAGTAGCAATGTGGCATGGCATCATTTTTGGCCATTTATGCATCCAATCCCTTCTTCAGTTACAGGTCTGTGTTTTGTATGCTGCTTTTAGACAATGCCCAACTTATAGTTACATTATTGTCCAATCAAAAACACAGTGCCATCACATCTAGAAACTAGAAAATCATAACTAAATAGTAGAAGTGAGTTGTAAGTAGATTGACATAGCCTGATGCCATGTAAGCCTACTATGTGCTACTGTCTACAAAAACAATCACCATTTTAATTGCTTTTAATGCTGAATGCTGTAATAAAAGTGAGGAGGGGCCACTCCTTCCAATATATAAAGAAGCTGAAAATAGAATACAGAGTAACTGTGATATTTTAGCCCACACTCCACCATCATTGGTGACTAAGATCATCTCTGCCAAAGAATTTACAGCTACAGCACAATATGAGTGACAGCTGCAGCACCAAATGACTGATACTAACATTACATTACCCAAGCACTCTCGTCAATCTCCAGACTTAGTGTTTGAAAGTTATAACATTTATAACATTTTCCGCATTTATTGTCACTCAAATTGTTGCATATATGGCAGTTCCCTAACAGACCAGGGCAGAACATAGGCCTACAAAGATTAGGAATGTGTGCTTGGGCCTGTCGCCGCCTACCCATCTTGACACACGGGGTGTCAAAGGAGGCATAAATAAACGCCCAAATGTTCCATTTACACCTCTACTCCCAGAGTCCGTCACCGACGCCTCTAGTGTCAAGCCATGACACCTGTCAAGCGAGGCCGCCACCTCACCTGTCAAAACACACACATACACACACACCTCATAAACAAATGGGTACAAAAAAATAAAAAGTATCCAGTTTATCGGGTTTTAAAAGCTTTAATTTGTGCGTGGGAGAGCCGTGTTAAGAGACCCGGCTGGGCTCCAGCTCTCGGCCCAGACCCCGACAGCCGCCGCCTTCTCCAGCAGGGGAAATATTACCCCCCCTCTCTCTCTCTCTCTCTCTCCAGTAAGTTGGGGCATTTTTCATGATTCAAGAAGTGTGCCCCGCTCCCCCCCGTCCTCCTGACCAGAGGTTCCAACAATGTTCTCTCCCCCGGGAAGAGAGAGAGAGAGGGAGAGGGAGGGAGAGACCTGGCTCCCGTGTTGACTCCCCGCCGCCCCGTCCAACCTACCTCCATTTCCAGCTGCTGTATTTTTGTACTTTTCAGGAGAGAGAGTTGTTTAGGAGCGGGTTGTAGTGTGTAATGATGTGCGGGCGGTGAGTGGTGCTCTCCGGTCACGTGGTCTTCATTCACTTGTTTCCCCACTGGGCATTATGGGACCGATCATCCACACCTTCACCCTCCCACATTTGAGCCACTTTTCATCTCTTTTTAGATTTCCATGACTTCGAGGGCCCCATCACTGAGGTCCCTAAGAGTAACTCTTCATCTCCACCAAGTTTCAGGGCAAAACGCGCTCTAAAGACTAGGATTTTGACATGAAATACACGAGACGGCAGACCACCTGCTCTCTCCTCACTCTCTGTCACTCACACTCCCTTCCGATGCTCGCTTGTTTCATCACAAAACTCAACATTCAGATTTACAGCCGGCTGGGGCGCGACTCCTAGCTAAATGTCAATATTATATTCGGAAAATACCCGAATGTTGGTATATTGCTGATAGTGGGTGTTTAGTGAGGAAATGGTGGGATCACAGCCTCGCCTAGATTTGGTTGTCATGGTTACTGTGTAAACTACATTGTCCCTCAAGACACTCCATCAAGACACTCCTCAAGACACTCAATATTACTACTGTAACTGGGCTCCAGACTCCGGCAGTCACCTCTACTTGAAGCACCATGGTGAGCACAAGGGCAATGGCTGCCAAAGAAGCACTGGTATTATCCTAAATATTCACACATAGGAATATCTTATTGAATCTTTGATTTCACTTACAACTGATCAAGCAGTAATAGCGAAAATATACGATTTAAGAGCAAGCATTGTTCACTTCTATATTTAAACATGCATCACTGAAAGGTGCCATAAATAATCCATCATACAATGTATACACTTTGTCTTTCCTATAAAAAGTATCAATATGTAAATTCAATAGCACTAGGGTCAGACGGGTTCATGTATTACAATAAAAACGCATGCAGGTATAGCTAAAAAACAGTTCCAAGTATAACCACAAACAGGTACTGGTATAGCAGCAAACAGGTGCTGGTATTGCAGTAAACCTGTGTAGGTATAACAACAAACAGGTGTAGGTATAACAGCAAACAGATGTAGGTACAGCAGCAAACAGGTACTGGTATAGATGCAAACAGGTGCTGGTATTGCAGTAAACCTGTGTAGGTATAACAACAAACAGGAGTAGGTATAGTACCAAACAGGTGCTGCTATAGCAGCAAACAGGTACAGGTATGACCATAAACATATGCAGGTATAGAGGCAAATAGGTGCACGTATAATATCAAATAAGTTTAGACGCAACTATAAATAGGTGTAGGTATAGCAGCAAATAAGTGCAGGTATAACTACAAACAGGTGCACGTATAGCCGTGAATAGGGGTAAGTATAGCAGTAAATAAGTGCAGTCATAGCAACAAAAAGGTGAAAGTATAGCACAAAACAAGAACAGGTGCAACTACAAACAGGTGCGGGTATAGCAGCAAATAGGTGTAAGTATAGCAGCAAACAGGTGCAGGTATAGCAGCAAATAGGTGTAGGTATAGAAGCAAACAGATGCAGGTATAGCAGCAAATAGGTGCAGGTATAGAAGCAAACAGATGCAGGTATAGCAGCAAATAGGTGCAGGTATAGAAGCAAACAGGTGCAGGTATAGCAGCAAACAGGTGCAGGCATAGCAGCAAACAGGTGCAGGTATAGCCGGAAATAGGTATTGGAATAGCAGTAAACAGGAGCAAGTATAGCAGCAAACAGATGCAGATATAACAGCAAACAGGTGCGTGTACAACAGTAAGCAGATGCAGGAATACTACAAACAGGTACAGGTATAGCAGTGAACAGGTGCAGGTATAGCAGTGAACAGGTGCAGGTATAGCAGCGAACAGGTGCAAGTATAGAAGCAGGCAGGTGCAGGTATAGTAGTAAACAGGTGCAGGTATAGTAGCAAACAGTGCAGGTATAGCAGCAAACAGGTGCAGGAATAGCTATAAACAAGTGTAGGTATAGCAGAAACACGTGCAGGTATAGAAACAAATAGGTGTAGATATAGCAGCAAACAGGTGCAGGTATAGCAGAATATAGATGTAGGTTTAGCAGCAAACAGGTGCAGGTATAGCAGAATATAGGTGTAGGTTTAGCAGCAAACAGGTGCAGGTATAGCAGAATATAGGTGTAGGTTTAGCAGGAAACAGGTGCAGGTATAACTACAAAGAGGTGCAAGAATATCAGCAAACAGGAATAGCAGAAAATTGGTACAGGTATAGCAGCAAACAGGTGTAACAATAGCTACAGGCAGGTGTAGGTATAGCAGCAAACAGGTGTAATAATAGCTACAGGCAGGTGTAGGTATAACAGCAAACAGGTGCAAGTAGAACAGCAAACAGGTGCATGTATAACAGCAAACAGGTGTAGTTACAGCAGCAAACATATGCAGGTATAACTACAAAGACGTGCAGGTATAACTGCAACAGGTGCAGGTATAACAGCAACAGGTGCAGGTATAACAGCAACAGGTGCAGGTATAACAGCAACAGGTGCAGGTATAACAGCAACAGGTGCAGGTATAACAGCAACAGGTGCAGGTATAACAGCAACAGGTGCAGGTATAACTGCAACAGGTGCAGGTATAACAGCAACAGGTACAGGTATAACAGCAACAGGTGCAGGTATAACTGCAACATGTGCAGGTGTAACTGCAACAGGTGTAGATATAACAGCAACAGGTGCAGGTATAACTGCACCAAATGCAGGTGTAACTGCAACAGGTGTAGATATAACAGCAACAGGTGCAGGTATAACAGCAACAGGTGCAGGTATAACTGCAACAGGTGCAGGTATAACAGCAACAGGTGCAGGTATAACAGCAACAGGTGCAGGTATAACTGCAACAGGTGCAGGTATAACAGCAACAGGTGCAAGTATAACAGCAACAGGTGCAGGTATAACTGCAACAGGTGCAGGTATAACTGCAACAGGTGCAGGTATAACTGCAACAGGTGCAGGTATAACAGCAACAGGTGCAGGTATAACTGCAACAGATGCAGGTATAACTGCAACAGGTGCAGGTATAACTGCAACAGGTGCAGGTATAACTGCACCAAATGCAGGTATAACTCCAACAGGTGTAGATATAACAGCAACAGGTGCAGGTATAACTGCAACAGGTGCAGGTATAACTCCAACAGGTGTAGATATAACAGCAACAGGTGCAAGTATAACTGTAACAGGTGCAGGTATAACTCCAACAGGTGCAGGTGTAACACAACAGGTTGAGGTGTAACTGCAACAGGTGCAGGTATAACTTCAGCGGGTACAGGTGTGTAGTTCATTTATTATGCCCCCATACCTATCCCGTGGGCGGTAGTGGAATGGGTTACACGGGCACATAATGGGCTTAGGGACTCCAAATGTATTTATATAGCGCACACACACACACACACACACACACACACACACACACACACACACACACACACACACACACACACACACACACACAGGTGTGTGTGTGTGTTTGGAGTCTGGTAGCTGAGTGGACAGCGCGCAGTACTCGTAATTCTGTGGCCCGGGTTCGATTCCCGGACCAGGCAGAAACAAATGGACAAAGTTTCTTTTACCCTGATGCCTCTGTTACCTACCAGTAAATAAATACCTGGGAGTTAGCCAGCTGTTACGGGCTGCTTCCTGGTGTGTATGTGTGGGGGGAAAAATTAGTTAGTAGTTAGTTGACAGTTGAGAGGCGGGCCGAAAGAGCAGAGCTCAACCCCCGCAAGAACAACTAGGTGAAACATATACACACACATACATTTTATATAGATATATATACACTCGGGAATATTTATTAAAGTGTTGAAAAGGTATATGTATTTTTAATTGCAAAATAACCTCCCCTCGTGTATGCAAGATGATGCGTTTCGCGCGTCAACAAGTGTTATTGTGCGTGAGCAAGTGGCGGGCGCGTCTGAAGCCAAGCCGAACGAAAACAATACCAAGACGAACACATTGTTTATCTGATGACTGGCACCCACTGTTTGGCTGTTTATCTGATGACTGGCACCTACTGTTTGACTGTTTATCTCATGACTGGCACCTACTGTTTGACTGTTTATCTCATGACTGGCACCTACTGTTTGACTGTTTATCTCATGACTGGCACCTACTGTTTGACTGTTTATCTGATGACTGGCACCTACTGTTTGACTGTTTATCTCATGACTGGCACCCACTGTTTGACTGTATCTGATGACTGGCACCCCACTGTTTGACTGTTTATCTGATGACTGGCACCCACTGTTTGACTGTTTATCTGATGACTGGCACCCACTGTTTAACTGTTTATCTGATGACTGGCACCTACTGTTTGACTGTTTATCTGATGACTGGCACCCACTGTTTGACTGTATCTGATGACTGGCACCTACTGTTTGACTGTTTATCTGATGACTGGCACCCACTGTTTGACTGTATCTCATGACTGGCCCCTACTGTTTGACTGTTTATCTGATGACTGGCACCTACTGTTTGACTGTATATGATGACTGGCACCCACTGTTTGACTGTATCTGATGACTGGCACCCACTGTTTGACTGTTTATCTTATGACTGGCCCCTACTGTTTGACTGTTTATCTGATGACTGGCACCTACTGTTTGACTGTTTATCTGATGACTGGCACCTACTGTTTGACTGTATATGATGACTGGCACCCACTGTTTGACTGTATCTGATGACTGGCACCCACTGTTTGACTGTTTATCTCATGACTGGCCCCTACTGTTTGACTGTTTATCTGATGACTGGCCCCTACTGTTTGACTGTTTATCTGATGACTGGCACCTACTGTTTGACTGTATCTGATGACTGGCACCTACTGTTTGACTGTTTATCTGATGACTGGCACCTACTGTTTGACTGTATATGATGACTGGCACCCACTGTTTGACTGTATCTGATGACTGGCACCCACTGTTTGACTGTTTATCTCATGACTGGCCCCTACTGTTTGACTGTTTACCTGATGACTGGCCCCTACTGTTTGACTGTTTATCTGATGACTGGCCCCTACTGTTTGACTGTTTACCTGATGACTGGCCCCTACTGTTTGACTGTTTACCTGATGACTGGCCCCTACTGTTTGACTGTTTATCTGATGACTGGCACCTACTGTTTGACTGTTTATCTGATGACTGGCACCCACTGTTTGACTGAGGCAGCGGCCGGCCAAGGCAACGCCGCCGCTGGTCAGATAAGGGATCAATACATCATTATACCAAAAGCTTGTTCCTGGTGATCAATACGGCGTCTAGGACGGCTGAGGAGAGTATTGGTGGGTCAGGCGGCGTCTCCACGGTGGTCTGACGGGCTGGTTAACCACCCCTTAGTGTAGTTCATTTATTATGCACCCCATACCCATCCTGGCCGTGGGCGGTAGTGGAAAGGGTTACACGGGCACATTGTGTAACCCTTGTAAATGTGTAACATTTACACAGGCACAATGTGTAAATGGGCTCAGGGGACGCCAAATATATTTAGCTAAGTTACAGCCTTGATAAGCTAGTTACGTAGTTCGTTCTCTGCTCTCAATTCAATTTCTTTCTTTATTATGCACCCCATACCCATCCCGTGGGCGGTGGTGTAAAGCATTACAAAGGCACATAATCGGTTCAATTGGAGTCCATAACTAGCCAAGCCCAAGGTGAAGTTTGAAAAAGTTCAGAAGTATGCCGCCAGACTAGTCCCAGAACTGAGAGGTATGAATTACGAGGAAAGGCTACAGGAATTAAACTTCATGTCGCTGGAAGACAAAAGAGTTAGGGGAGACATGAGTATCACATACAAAATTCTCAGGAGAATTAATAGGATAGATTAATTCTAATAATTCCAGATTATTTAGCACGGTTGATACTTTGGCACGGTGACAGGTGGAAATTGAGTACACAAATGAGCAACAGAGGCATTAGGAAGAATTTGTTCAGTGTCAGAATAGTTAAATGGAATGCATTAGGAAGTGATGTGGTGGAGGTAGATTCCATATACAGTTTAAAATATAGATTGTTGTTGTTGCAGAGATATTCCTGCGTGGGCCCTAAGCCTATGGCTGGCGCACTAAGTGTTATTTGTTTCTTGTTTCTGTTTTATTTAGGTAGTGTATGAGTATTGATGACTCGTATGGTCACTTCAGTGATATTATGTCCATGTGTTTAACAACTTAAATTGTTTAAATTTTGCCCCAAGGGGCGAGTTTATTGGGCAGCGCCTCTCATCTTGTAAGTGGACACACCGCCATAGCAGCATGTACAACACTCTCCAATAGGAAGAAAACCCGCTGGGTTGTTCATCCTGTCACTTGTACCCAGACACAGCTGGGACTTGCTTAACTGTCTCAAGTGAACAGCTCCTCAAACAAGAAGATTAACATTTATCAACCCTTAAAAGCTTACGTTATCTTGCGGGTGCAAAATGGGGAAATCTTTTAAGAACAGCATCACTTCTTCCACTCTGTTGAATCTAAGTTGAAATCTTATTTGGTTTGTAACTAAACTGTGTTAGATAATGTTCCAGTTGTCTGCCGATAATTTCTCCACAATAAATATAGATATGATAGAGCCTAGAAGGCTCAGGAAGCTGTACACCAGTTGACTGACAGTTGAGAGGCGCGACCAAAGAGCCCAAGCTGAGCCCCCGCGAGTACACGCACACCCAGGCAACACCTAGGTAAGGAGGCCAGGACGAGAGGTGTCATAGATGGCTGACGACTGACACCCCACAGGAGGCCTCTGCCAGTGCTGCAGAAACACTCTGTCCTGCAGGCACCTTCACACGCCGCTGACCAAATTAGGGTCGGATATGTAGCCGGAAGAGCAACATTCCGACAGTCTGTGGCCAGGCGGGTCACAATATAAATGAACCATTATATTTAAGATTAATTTTACACTGGCGAACACACAGTAGCAACATGAGGAGTGAACTAGAGTACAGTTGAAGGTGCCAGCGCCTGGCCTAGCTGTACCGGTGAGCGAGACGCCGCGATAGATGACGTCACGGTCTCTGCCAGGGAGGTAAACAAGGAAGCCGCCAGCCTGGCGGACAGTTCTAACACCACTACTCTTGTCTGCACCCCCTCACCTCAGGTAACCTGGGGTCATTATCAGGAGAAACCGCTGAGACAGATGGGCATACTGAGACACTTGAACATAATATAAGGATAGGATGAGAGGTGAGATATGACCACGACACGAAGGAACGGGGCCCAACCACTTGGACCATCGGGGGTCAAACTCCGACCTTGCAAGAGGGAGGTCATCGCTCTACCTACCAACCTGACCAAGCGGAGGTGCTATGGTGGTACTTACCTATCACTACTTACCTATGTGTCCACGGGGGGAGTGAGGGAGGAGTGAGGTCTAGCGCTTCATGCCCCCGTCTAACAGCCTTGTTGTGCCGGTTGCTTTATAATTTAGGTAATCTAACGTTCGAATCCTTTGTCGAGTGAGGTCTTTAAGTTGTGGATGGAGGCGGCTTCCAGGACTTCTTCTTTCAGTACAGTCCACTTTTGACTACCTGTACACGGTTATCTTATCTTGAGGTTATCTTGAGATGATTTCGGGGCTTTAGTGTCCCCGCGGCCCGGTCCTCGACCAGGCCTCCACCCCCAGGAAGCAGCCCGTGACAGCTGACTAACACCCAGGTATCTACTTTACTGCTAGGTAACAGGGGCATAGGGTGAAAGAAACTCTGCCCATTGTTTCTCGCCGGCGCCTGGGATCGAACCCAGGACCACAAGATCACAAGTCCAGCGTGCTGTCCACTCGGCCGACCGGCTCCCTTGAACATAATATAAGGACAGGATGGTACCAGTAAATCCATATATTTCTTCGACTCATTTGCATTTCCAGCTTCTACGTGTGTCCTCTTGTCCAACTTTCTGTCACTCTGAAGAGGCAATCTTTGTCCACCTTATCTATTCCCTCCTCTACCCCTCTACTGCCACCTTGAGGTCCTTCTATCCTCTACGGTTGTGAGACTGTGAGTGAACACGGCTGGGGGCAGGTGTTGACTGTGAGGGCTGGGGGCAGGTGTTCAGTGTGAGGGCTGGGGGCAAGTGTTCACTATGAGGGCTGGGGGCAGGTGTTGACTGTGAGGGCTGGGGGCAGGTGTTCACTATGAGGGCTGGGAACAGGTGTTGACTGTGAGGGCTGGGGGCAGGTGTTGACTGTGAGGGCTGGGGGCAGGTGTTGACTGTGAGGGCTGGGGGCACGTGTTGACTGTGAGGGCTGGGGGCAGGTGTTCACTGTGAGGGCTGGGGGCAGGTGTTCACGGGAGGGCTGGGGGCAGGTGTTGACTGTGAGGGCTGGAGGCAGGTGTTCACTATGAGGGCTGGGGGGGCAGGTGAATTCACTGTGAGGGGCTGGGGGCAGGTGTTCACTGTGAGGGCTGGGATATCAGAAGTAAGAGTATCGGGAGTCATTGCAATAAATGTCCCACAGCAAGAAGAGCGGGGCCTCGGAGCTGGAGCCCGACCTCGCCCACACTGCTAGGCTAGTGCATGTACTGGTACGTGAAGCAACCCAAATAGGTACATTGTGTGGCCTCGCCAGCGGCGGAAGTCACTCACAGAGCTTAATGGCAGTGATGCTATCGTGGTGAAGATATCACTGCTGTCTGATGCTATATGAACGCCACCCCAGCACCACCTCGCCCGTGACCCCAGCACCACCTCGCCCGTGACCCCCAGCACCACCTCGCCCGTGACCCCAGCACCACCTCGCCCGTGACCCCAGCACCACCTCGCCCGTGACCCCAGCACCACCTCGCCCGTGACCCCAGCACCAGCTCCCTGTAGTAGACCTGTCTACCCACACCACACCAGGAAGGGTTGAGGGCCACTGGGCTAACAACACTACACACCAGGCATGACAGGGCGGGTATCATCGAAACTTATAAAACGCTGAACAATTTGGAGGATGCTGATCCAGACAACGTCTCCAAAAGTTCAGATGTAACACAAAGGAGCAACGGGTTTAAGCTCAACAAGCCACAGTGTAGGACACAAAACAGGAGAGGCTTTTTCACCCACAGGGTTATAAACCCATGGAACCGCCTACCCGCTGAAGCCATAAATGCCAAAACTCTGCTGAATTTTAAAATCCAGCTTGATGAAATCGTCAGGTGAAATGGCGGGACACATGACAAGCCGCCGCCTTTCTGTCCTTGTCGAGGCCACTAGTGATACTGTGGCCTTCAGGTAAATATTTCTCTAGTGTAAGGACAGACATTGGGACACGCACTTACCTGGCGAGGCTCTCGGGAGTTCTTTTCTATATTTCTTTCTCGTATCTTTCAATTCTACTGTGCAAAATAACAGTAGGACCTGACCCTATAACATCTTCCATGTAGTGTATATATTAGTTGACACCTCTCTCGTCTCCTTTCCAGAAAGTACATCTTGAGAGATTTGAGACGGTTCCAGTAATTTAGGTGGTTTATCGTGTCTATGCCTGTTGTCTATGTTCACTGTATTCCCTCTAATTTAGAGATCTCTCCTGCTCTGAAAGGGGAAGTGAGTACTGAGCAGTACTCAAGACGGGACAGCACCAGTGATTTAAATAGTATTAGCATTGCTGTGGGGTCTCTGGATTTGAACGTTCTCATAATCCATCCTAACATTTTCCTGGCCGCCGCTATATTTGCTCGGTTATGTTCACTAAATGTCTGGTCGTCAGACATCATAATTCCCAGATCTTTTACATGTTGCTTTCCTTCTATGAGTAAGTCTGACTGTGTCCTGTACCCTGTGTTTCGTTTAACTTCCTCGTTTCTGCCATACCTCAGTACCTGGAATTTATCAGTTAATTATTTTTCGTCACCCAGTCGAAAACTTTATTAACTTCGGCTTATAGCTTATCAGTGTCTTCTACAGATGAAATTTTCATGCTGATTTTTGAATCATCAGCAAAGGATGATACAACGCTGTGACTAGTACTGTATTTTTGTCTATATCCGAGATAAGAATAAAAATGAGCAATGGTGCAAGGACTGTGCCCTGGGGTACAGGGCTTGTCACTGCACTTGGACTTGATCTTATTTGATTGACTGTTAGTCTTTGCTTTCTGTTTGACATAGTAGTCGAAGTGTGACAAAAGTACATATTTCGTAAATCAAGTATTAATGGCAAGAGATATAACTTACTTTTAACAAAGATGAGTCCAAATGTGAGTAAGGATGGAGGAGATATTGACAGATGTGTGCGTGTGTACGCCCTAGTCGCAGGGGAAAGGCGGAGACTCGCAGAAGGGCACCACCATCCGGGAGGCCCTGCGGCAGTGGGAGGAGAACACGGGGGAGAGGGCAGCCGAGGCCACGGAGGTCAAGCTCATCGGCCTATACCCACCCATCGAGAAGCTCGACTCAGCCTTGCAGGTCTTGGTCAACTGCGAGTGAGTGTTGGATTGGTATTGTTCTCACTCACTCTGTACTGGGTACCTTTACTCACCCGGTCCTGGACACCCAACACCCACCCGGTCCTGGACACCCAACACCCACCCGGTCCTGGACACCCAACACCCACCCGGTCCTGGACACCCAACACCCACCCAGCCCTGGACACCCAACACCCACCCAGTCCTGGACACCCAACACCCACCCAGCCCTGGACACCCAACACCCACCCAGCCCTGGACACCCAACACCCACCCAGCCCTGGACACCCAACACCCACCCAGCCCTGGACACCCAACACCCACCCAGTCCTGGACACCCAACACCCACCCAGCCCTGGACACCCAACACTCACCCAGTCCTGGACACCCAACACCCACCCAGCCCTGGACACCCAACACCCACCCAGCCCTGGACACCCAACACCCACCCAGTCCTGGACACCCAACACCCACCCAGCCCTGGACACCCAACACCCACCCAGCCCTGGACACCCAACACCCACCCAGCCCTGGACACCCAACACCCACCCAGTCCTGGACACCCAACACCCACCCAGCCCTGGACACCCAACACCCACCCAGTCCTGGACACCCAACACCCACCCAGCCCTGGACACCCAACACTCACCCGGTCCTGGACACCCAACACCCACCCAGTCCTGGACACCCAACACTCACCCGGTCCTGGACACCCAACACCCACCCGGTCCTGGACACCCAACACCCACCCAGTCCTGGACACCCAACACTCACCCAGTCCTGGACACCCAACACCCACCCAGTCCTGGACACCCAACACTCACCCAGCCCTGGACACCCAACACTCACCCAGTCCTGGACACCCAACACTCACCCGGTCCTGGACACCCAACACTCACCCGGTCCTGGACACCCAACACCCACCCAGCCCTGGACACCCAACACTCACCCAGCCCTGGACACCCAACACCCACCCAGTCCTGGACACCCAACACCCACCCAGCCCTGGACACCCAACACTCACCCGGTCCTGGACACCCAACACCCACCCAGTCCTGGACACCCAACACTCACCCGGTCCTGGACACCCAACACCCACCCGGTCCTGGACACCCAACACCCACCCAGTCCTGGACACCCAACACTCACCCAGTCCTGGACACCCAACACCCACCCAGTCCTGGACACCCAACACTCACCCAGCCCTGGACACCCAACACTCACCCAGTCCTGGACACCCAACACTCACCCGGTCCTGGACACCCAACACTCACCCGGTCCTGGACACCCAACACCCACCCAGCCCTGGACACCCAACACTCACCCAGCCCTGGACACCCAACACCCACCCAGCCCTGGACACCCAACACTCACCCGGTCCTGGACACCCAACACTCACCCACTCATCATTGTTGATTTATATATATATATTATATATATATATATATATATATATATATATATATATATATATATATATATATATATATATATATATATATATATATATATATATGTCGTACCTAGTAGCCAGAACACACTTCAGATTCAGATGTTTATTCAGGTAAGGTATATACATACAAGTGATGTTACATTAATGGATTGATATATAGATAGAGCTAGTACATACAATGCCTAAAGCCACTATTACGCAATGCGTTTCGGGCAAGAAAAACATTAATATCTAGAACTTAATACTAATTGAGCATAAAGAATACTACTTGAGCATAAAGAATACTACTTGAGCATAAAGAATACTAAAGAATAAAGAATACACACTTCTCAGCCTACTATGCAAGGCTCGATTTGCCTAATAAGCCAAGTTTTCCTGAATTAATGTATTTTCTCTATTTTTTTCTTATGAAATGATAAAGCTACCCATTTCATTATGTATGAGGTCAAATTTTTTTTATTGGAGTTAAAATTAACGTAGATATATGACCGAACCTAACCAACCCTACCTAACCTAACCTATCTTTATAGGTTAGGTTAGGTTAGGTAGCCAAAAAAGTTAGGTTAGGTTAGGTAGTCGAAAAACCATTATTTCATGAAAACTTGGCTTATTAGGCAAATCGGGCCTTGCATAGTAGGCCGAGAAGTGCGTTCTGGCTACTAGGTACGACATATATATGTGTATATATATATGTATATGTCGTACCTAGTAGCCAGAATGCACTTCTCAGTCTACTATGCAAGGCCCGATTTGCCTAATAAGCCAAGTTTTCCTGAATTTATATATTTTCTCATTTTTTTTTCTTATGAAATGATAAAGCTACCCATTTCATAATGTTTGAGGTCAATTTTTTTTTATTGGAGTTAAAATTAACGTAGATATATGACCGAACCTAACCAACCCTACCTAATCTATCTTTATAGGTTAGGCTAGGTAGCAGAAAAAGTTAGGTTAGGTAGGTTAGGTAGTCGAAAAACAATTAATTCATGAAAACTTGGCTTATTAGGCAAATCGGGCCTTGCATAGTAGGCTGAGAAGTGCGTTCTGGCTACTAGGTACGACACATATATATATATAAATATATATATATATATATATATATATATATATATATATATATATATATATATATATATGTCGTACCTAATAGCCAGAACGCACTTCTCAGCCTACTATTCAAGGCCCGATTTGCCTTATAAGCCAAGTTTTCATGAATTAATGTTTTTTCGTCTACCTAACCTAACCTAACCTAGCTTTTTTGGCTACCTAACCTAACCTTACCTATAAATATAGGTTAGGTTAGGTTAGGTAGGGTTGGTTAGGTTCGGTCATATATCTAAGTTAATTTTAACTCCAATAAAAAAAAATTAACCTCATACATAGAGAAAAGGGTTGCTTTATCATTTCATAAGAAAAAAATTATAGTAAATATATTAATTCAGGAAAACTTGGCTTATTAGGCAAATCGGGCCTTGAATAGTAGGCTGAGAAGTGAGTTCTGGCTACTAGGTACGACATATATATATATATATTATTAAATATGACCGAAAAAGTAAGATTAATAATTCTAACACAAATTTTCTCAATCTTTCGTACATTTCTTTTCACTGCTGGTGGTAATTCAAAAATCAATTCTCCAAAATTCATTTTTATTTCTAGTCTGACGCGACACTTGAGCGCGTTTCGTAAAACTTATTACATTTTCAAAGACTTTAGTTTACACATACACAACTGAATAGAACTTACACATCTCCGATTTGTTTATATCTACATTTGAGTGAGGTGGATGGGGTGAGGTGGTATTAATAGGGTATTAAATTCATCAACACAAGACAGAACACGAAACAATGGGTATTGAATGGAAGTGATTGTAGAAAGCCTATTGGTCCATATTTCTTGATGCTTCTATATTGGAGCGGAGTCTTGAGGTGGGTAGAATATAGAATATATATAGAATATATAAGAATATAGAATATATAGAATATATTCTACCCACCTCAAGACTCCGCTCCAATATAGAAGCATCAAGAAATATGGACCAATAGGCTTTCTACAATCACTTCCATTCAATACCCATTGTTTCGTGTTCTGTCTTGTGTTGATGAATTTAATACCCTATTAATACCACCTCACTCAAATGTAGATATAAACAAATCGGAGATGTGTAAGTTCTATTCAGTTGTGTATGTGTAAACTAAAGTCTCTGAAAATGTAATAAGTTTTACGAAACGCGCTCAAGTGTCGCGTCAGACTAGAAATAAAAATGAATTTTGGAGAATTGATTTTTGAATTACCACCAGCAGTGAAAAGAAATGTACGAAAGATTGAGAAAATTCGTGTTAGAATTATTAATCTTACTTTTTCGGTCATATTTAATAATATATGTCTACAGGAAAGACTGCTACCAAAATATACTAATATATATATATATGTCGTACCTAGTAGCCAGAACGCACTTCTCAGCCTACTATGCAAGGCCCGATTTGCCTAAAAAGCCAAGTTTTCATGAATTAATATATTTTCTCAAATTTTTTTCCTATAAAATGATAAAGCTACCCATTTCATTATGTATGAAGTCAATTTTTTTTATTGGAGTTAAAATTAACGTAGATATATGACCAAACCTAACAAACCCTACCTAACCTAACCTATCTTTATAGGTTAGGTTAGGTAGCCGAAAAAGCTAGGTTAGGTTAGGTTAGGTAGTCTAAAAAACATTATTTCATGAAAACTTGGCTTATCAGGCAAATCGGACCTTGCATAGTAGGCTAAGAAGTGCGTTCTGGCTACTAGGTACGACATATATATATATATATATATATATATATATATATATATATATATATATATATATATATATATATATATATATATATATATATATATATATATATATATATATATATATATGTGTGTGTGTGTGTGTATATCACGAAAATAAACACGTGATTAAAAATGTGACAATGTCAGACCACGGAGGAAAAATGAAACAGGAATTTCCTTAAGTACTTTCGTATATTAATACATCTTCAGAAGGAGTGATTTTACAGATCGAGTGATGGGTATAAATAGGCAGGAGAGAATGGTGAAGTGAGGTGAGGTACAATACGTGGACAGCGCAGACGGCCCATTGGCCCATCAGATGCACCCAATTGGCCCAACCGATGTAGCCCAATGGCCCATCTGACACAATACATAGATAATTATAGCATAAAGTGGTAAATATATACAATGAATTAGTGAGACAAATGTTTTTCAATGATCCTACTTAAATCGCCCTTTAACTGATCTATTAAAAATGGATCTAAGTTATATAGACCACTGCTAATATACCCATCATTATATATTTTATACCCATCACTCGATCTGTAAAATCACTCCTTCTGAAGATGTATTAATATACGAAAGTACTTAAGGAAATTCCTGTTTCATTTTTCCTCCGTGGTCTGACATTGTCATATATATATATATATATATATATATATATATATATATATATATATATATATATATATATATATATATATATATATATATATATATATATATAATTTCTGTTGTAAGGCAGGTGTTGTATAAGGCAGGTATTGTATGAGGCAGGTGTTGTGTGAGGCAGGTGTTGTGAGACAGGTGTTGTATGAGGCAGGTGTTGTATGAGGCAGGTGTTGTGTGAGGCAGGTATTGTATGAGGCAGGTGTTGTGTGAGGCAGGTGTTGTGTGAGGCAGGTATTGTGTGAGGCAGGTATTTTATGAGGCAGGTGTTGTATGAAGTAAATGTTGAGTATATGAGTGATTTGTGATACAGGTTGTGGTAGCTAGGATACAGGTTGTGGTAGCCAGGATACAGGTTGTGGTAGCTAGGATACAGGTTGTGGTAGCCAGGATACAGGTTGTGGTAGCCAGGATACAGGTTATGGTAGCCAGGATACAGGTTGTGGTAGCCAGGATACAGGTTATGGTAGCCAGGATACAGGTTGTGGTAGCCAGGATACAGGTTGTGGTAGCCAGGATACAGGTTGTGGTAGCCAGGATACAGGTTGTGGTAGCCAGGATACAGGTTGTGGTAGCCAGGATACAGGTTGTGGTAGCTAGGATACAGGTTGTGGTAGCCAGGATACAGGTTGTGGTAGCTAGGATACAGGTTGTGGTAGCCAGGATACAGGTTGTGGTAGCCAGGATACAGGTTATGGTAGCCAGGATACAGGTTGTGGTAGCTAGGATACAGGTTGTGGTAGCCAGGATACAGGTTGTGGTAGCCAGGATACAGGTTGTGGTAGCCAGGATACAGGTTGTGGTAGCCAGGATACAGGTTGTGGTAGCCAGGATACAGGTTGTGGTAGCCAGGATACAGGTTGTGGTAGCCAGGATTCAGGTTGTGGTAGCCAGGATACAGGTTGTGGTAGCCAGGATACAGGTTGTGGTAGCCAGGATACAGGTTATGGTAGCCAGGATACAGGTTGTGCTAGCCAGGATACAGGTTGTGCTAGCCAGGATACAGGTTATGGTAGCCAGGATACAGGTTGTGGTAGCCAGGATACAGGTTGTGGTAGGCAGGATACAGGTTGTGGTAGCCAGGATACAGGTTGTAGTAGCCAGGATACAGGTTGTGGTAGCCAGGATACAGGTTGTGGTAGCCAGGATACAGGTTGTGGTAGCCAGGATACAGGTTGTGGTAGCCAGGATACAGGTTGTGGTAGCCAGGATACAGGTTGTGGTAGCCAGGATACAGGTTGTGGTAGCCAGGATACAGGTTGTGGTAGCCAGGATACAGGTTGTGGTAGCCAGGATACAGGTTGTGGTAGCCAGGATTCAGGTTGTGGTAGCCAGGATACAGGTTGTGGTAGGCAGGATACAGGTTGTGGTAGCCAGGATACAGGTTGTGGTAGCCAGGATACAGGTTGTGGTAGGCAGGATACAGGTTGTGGTAGCCAGGATACAGGTTGTGGTAGCCAGGATACAGGTTGTGGTAGCCAGGATTCAGGTTGTGGTAGCCAGGATACAGGTTGTGGTAGCCAGGATACAGGTTGTGGTAGCCAGGATACAGGTTATGGTAGCCAGGATACAGGTTATGGTAGCCAGGATACAGGTTGTGGTAGCCAGGATACAGGTTGTGCTAGCCAGGATACAGGTTATGGTAGCCAGGATACAGGTTGTGGTAGCCAGGATACAGGTTGTGGTAGGCAGGATACAGGTTGTGGTAGCCAGGATACAGGTTGTGGTAGCCAGGATACAGGTTGTGGTAGCCAGGATACAGGTTGTGGTAGCCAGGATACAGGTTATGGTAGCCAGGATACAGGTTGTGGTAGCCAGGATACAGGTTGTGGTAGCCAGGATACAGGTTGTGGTAGCCAGGATACAGGTTGTGGTAGCCAGGATACAGGTTGTGGTAGCCAGGATACAGGTTGTGGTAGCCAGGATACAGGTTGTGGTAGGCAGGATACAGGTTGTGGTAGCCAGGATACAGGTTGTGGTAGGCAGGACAGAGACTGAGAGAGTGACCGTGGTCTTCAGGAAGTTGAGCCTGTCCACCAACATGATAGAGAAGCTCGGTCAGCTTAACAACCTCCGCTCCCTCAAGATCCTCAGCCTCGGCAGGAACAACATCAAGAACTTTACTGGTTTGGTGAGTAATGTTCCTAGTTACGGCCCCTAGCCACCGTCCCCTATCCCCTACACCTAGCTATGGTTCCCTAGCCACCGTCCCCTATCCCTTACACCTAGCTATGGTTCCCTAGCCACCGTCCCCTATCCCTTACTCCTAGCTATGGTTCCCTAGCCACCGTCCCCTATCCCTTACACCTAGCTATGGTTCCCTAGCCACCGTCCCCTACCCCCTACACCTAGCTATGGTTCCCTAGCCACCGTCCCCTATCCCTTACACCTAGCTATGGTTCCCTAGCCACCGTCCCCTACCCCCTACACCTAGCTATGGTTCCCTAGCCACCGTCCATTACCCCCTACACCTAGCTATGGTTCCCTAGCCACCGTCCCCTATCCCCTACACCTAGCTATGGTTCCCTAGCCACCGTCCACTACCCCCTACACCTAGCCATGGTTCCCTAGCCACCGTCCCCTACCCCCACTCCTAGCTATGGTTCCCTAGCCACCGTCCCCTACCCCTTACTCCTAGCTATGGTTCCCTAGCCACCGTCCCCTACCCCCTACACCTAGCTATGGTTCCCTAGCCACCGTCACCTACCCCCCCTACTCCTAGCTATGGTTCCCTAGCCACCGTCACCTACCCCCACTCCTAGCTATGGTTCCCTAGCCACCGTCCCCTACCCTTTACTCCTAGCTATGGTTCCCTAGCCACCGTCTCCTACCCCCTACACCTAGCTATGGTTCCCTAGCCACCGTCACCTACCCCCCCCTACTCCTAGCTATGGTTCCCTAGCCACCGTCACCTACCCCCCCTACTCCTAGCTATGGTTCCCTAGCCACCGTCACCTACCCCCCCCTACTCCTAGCTATGGTTCCCTAGCCACCGTCACCTACCCCCCCCTACTCCTAGCTATGGTTCCCTAGCCACCGTCACCTACCCCCCCCCTACTCCTAGCTATGGTTCCCTAGCCACCGTCACCTACCCCCCCCCTACACCTAGCTATGGTTCCCTAGCCACCGTCACCTACCCCCCCCTCCTCCTAGCTATGGTTCCCTAACCACCAATTGTATGATTTGAGATTAAAATCCTATGGATACCATCACATGTTGGCATCTCAAGGCATGACACTGTTGATATGCTTGCTAAGACAGTCTATAGAGAACCAGTGGTAGAAATTGATATGAGTGTTTCATTAGCAGTGACAAAGAGAATACTTAAACTAATGAAGATCTCACCGACCTAACAAATTCACAAAGACCTGAAAGTTGTAGCATTAAATATTATGATAGATATCGTGAGGAGACGTTCACATATGGGACTAATAGAACAAGAACCCGGCAATGTGATGTTATAGTGGCCAGAATACGCCTGGGATATAGACGTATCTGGCAGCTTTCTCAAAACCCAAATGTCGAGTACACAATGTGTCAACTTTGTGAAAGAGAAAACATGCACTCTCTTGAACATTATATTGTAGAATGTTCCATATTGACTGACTTTCGCCCTCCTGGGCTAAGGTATGCTGAACTCTGTAGTTACTATATGAGTACTGGAACACTTGATGATATATTGGACTTGTATCCAAGATTAATCATGTAATGTATCAATTATACAATGTATGTATGTGATGTAACTATATAACCTGAGCTTGTAAAAGCTACCTTAATCACCTTCAGTGATTAAGTGCTTAATTGTACACTAGTTTCTCTATCAGCTATCTCACTCTGTCAGAGTAAAAGAGACATATGTATGTGAATGCATGTGTGTATATATGTATATATATATACCATCATATATATGAACATATGAACGTATGTGTGTGTGTATGTGTATAAAGTATATATGGAAGCTGATCAGAATTATATTTCACCTTTGTAAATGCACATTAATGACACTATGTAAAAGACACATCAAACACTTTATGTAGGGCATACGTAAATCTGTGTATCTATGTATTTACGTATGTAGGTTAGCTTAGCATTTTAAAAACACCGAATCACCTTCTGTGGTTGATTGTTCAATAAACCCTTGAACTCTATGTTTAACACTTCTCTAACCCTGTCCATGGAGGACAGAAGAAAATGTATATATGCTGGTTAGCATTATAAATGTGTGGCCACGTCTGTGGTAGAAAAAAAACTACCCCCCCACCACTCCTAGCTATGGTTCCCTAGCCACCGATTGTATGGTGTATGGTGTGTGACACTCACCACTGACGGTGTATAGTGTGTGACACTCACCACTGACGGTGTATGGTGTGTGACACTCACCACTGACGGTGTATGGTGTGTGACAACACTGACGGTGTATGGTGTGTGACAACACTGACGGTGTATGGTGTGTGACACTCACCACTGACGGTGTATAGTGTGTGACAACACTGACGGTGTATGGTGTGTGACAACACTGACGGTGTATGGTGTGTGACACTCACCACTGACGGTGTATGGTGTATGACAACACTGACGGTGTATGGTACGGCAGGAGGTGCTGGCCGAGACGCTGGAGCAGCTGTGGATCTCCTACAACTTCATAGAGAAGCTGAAGGGGGTCGGCCTCCTGAAGAAGTTGAAGGTCAGTGACGACTCTCTCTATTCTCTCTAATAATAAACTCTTTAACTTAGTTAACCATATGTACATACGCACATGCAAATATGTAAATTAACTTGATCTCGGGTAGATGAAATAACTTTTTATTATGGTCGAGATAATTAGAATAATAAATGAATGATGACTTACACGTCCTTCATTACGTACACTGAGTGAATATACAGTACCGGACTGTCATTCTGGCCATCCGTCCTCGATGAAGTTCATTACATCCAGCGGCCGACGGATTTGTACAACCCGTCCTCGACTCAAGTCCATTCCATCCAGCGGTCGACCCCTCACAAACGCGTTCATAATTTTTAACTTGCTGTTCATTCAAAACAGGAATTTTCTCAAATATAACTTAATATTATAATATATTTGCATATTGTGCATATATAGGCATAGGTTAGGTTAGACTAGGTGTTGAGGTCTTGTTGGCGATTATTGGTATTTGTAGTACGTGGGTGAAGCATTTACAGCGTTGTGGTTCGAACAAAATTCGTCAGTGAAGCACTTGTTCCGGAAGTGTTCGAACGTTATCAGTTGTGAGTCGTGTGTAAACCGTTTTTCATTCATAAAGAGCTGGGGTTTAGCGGGTCAGGCCGTCCTTTAAAAGACCCAAAAGTGATTCCATGCACCCGCCAAACCCCAGCTGTTTATGAATGAAAAACGGTTTACACACGACTCACAACTGATAACGTTCGAACACTTCCGGAACAAGTGCTTCACTGACGACTTTTGTTCGAACCACAACGCTGTAAATGCTTCACCCACGTACTACAAATACCAATAATCGCCAACAAGACCTCAACACCTAGTCTAACCTAACCTATGCCTATATATGCACAATATGCAAATATATTATAATATTAAGTTATATTTGAGAAAATTCCTGTTTTGAATGAACAGCAAGTTAAAAATTATGAACGCGTTTGTGAGGGGTCGACCGCTGGATGGAATGGACTTGAGTCGAGGACGGGTTGCAAGTTCGTGCTGCGAATATAAACAATTGTTGTCAGAACCTAAACGCCTAACCCATCTTAACCTCGGCCTAACTACCTTACCTTGAGGTTACCTTGAGGTGCTTCCGGGGCTTAGCGTCCCCGCGGCCCGGTCGTCGACCAGGCCTCCTGGTTGCCGGACTGATCAACCAGGCTGTTGGACGCGGCTGCTCGCAGCCTGACGTATGAGTCACAGCCTGGTTGATCAGGTATCCTTTGGAGGTGCTTATCCAGTTCTCTCTTGGACACTGTGAAGGGTCGGCCAGTTATGCCCCTTATGTGTAACTAAAGAAAAATTCTTATATTAAAATTAATATATTTTTAATGCTTAATACAATAAAATTGACTAATACATTTCAGAGGAAGAACACGGCTTGGAGGAGCATGGCTGTTCTCCCTAAACAAGAAAATGATTTTTCTATCCATTTTGTCTCTTCCGCACGGTATCTTATATGTTGTTGTCATGTCCCCTGTGTTCCTTCTATTGTGGTTCGTTCCTTCAACATGTCTTCATAGCTCAGCTCCTTCATCTCCAGCACCAGCTCGTAATAAATATTTGTACTTTGTTAATGTTGTTCTTATGCGCCACAAGTTGGGAATTTAGTTTTATTGGTACATACTATATGGCTGAATTAACACAGCCTGTGTATTGTGTTCTGGATGTGGCCTCTTCTTGGTTTGTTGGTCCACCGTACACCTGTCAGCTCCTTGTGGTGCTGGTGGTATTGTGTTAATGTGCAGGTGTGCTGTTACAGGTGGCGTTCTGTCCACACCTGAGTCTTGTGGTGCTGGTGGTATTGTGTTAATGTGCAGGTGTGCTGTTACAGGTGGCGTTCTGTCCACACCTGAGTCTTGTGTTGCTGGTGGTATTGTGTTAATGTGCAGGTGTGCTGTTACAGGTGGCGTTCTGTCCACACCTGAGTCTTGTGTTGCTGGTGGTATTGTGTTAATGTGCAGGTGTGCTGTTACAGGTGGCGTTCTGTCCACACCTGAGTCTTGTGGTGCTGGTGGTATTGTGTTAATGTGCAGGTGTGCTGTTATAGGTGGCGTTCTGTCCACACCTGAGTCTTGTGGTGCTGATGGTATTGTGTTAATGTGCAGGTGTGCTGTTACAGGTGGCGTTCTGTCCACACCTGAGTCTTGTGTTGCTGATGGTATTGTGTTAATGTGCAGGTGTGCTGTTACAGGTGGCGTTCTGTCCACACCTGAGTCTTGTGTTGCTGATGGTATTGTGTTAATGTGCAGGTGTGCTGTTACAGGTGGCGTTCTGTCCACACCTGAGTCTTGTGTTGCTGATGGTATTGTGTTAATGTGCAGGTGTGCTGTTACAGGTGGCGTTCTGTCCACACCTGAGTCTTGTGTTGCTGATGGTATTGTGTTAATGTGCAGGTGTGCTGTTATAGGTGGCGTTCTGTCCACACCTGAGTCTTGTGTTGCTGATGGTATTGTGTTAATGTGCAGGTGTGCTGTTACAGGTGGCGTTCTGTCCACACCTGAGTCTTGTGGTGCTGATGGTATTGTGTTAATGTGCAGGTGTGCTGTTACAGGTGGCGTTCTGTCCACACCTGAGTCTCACCTGTCCGGCTCCTCTGACTCCTCCTTGTTATTGTCCTTCTCGGTTCCTCTTTCTTCTCCTAAACTTAATTACTTTTGATTTACTGGAAGTTTGCTGTGGCAGCCATTAGTCTGGCCAAATGGTGTAGCTGGTTTAGGTGTCGTCGTGTGGCACACTGCGAGCACCGCCAGTCCCTGCCCTTCTCACCAGTCCTGCAGCATATGCAAACATTTTCATGCAAGCTTTTGCCTCTTCGGGAAGAGTTGGGGGTCCAAGGACAGAGTGCTCCTGGACCACGACTTCCACTTCCCTCCACTCTATAACATTTCCTCTCTCACAATGACCACCTTTCCTGTTTATCAGGTACTCTCTTTCCTGGGAATGACTCTCAGAGTCATTCCTCCTGCCTCTCCATTTTCTTTGCTAGCCATTTATCAGGCATCATGGACTCTTTGGCCATTTAATATAATGAAATCTACGCAGCTTTCTCTATCTCTTCTCTAGTCTTGGTGACGCTGTAGACCCAACTTCATCAGGCACAACATGCCTTTCTAAATGCACACTGACACGCTATTACAAAACTGGCCTCATAAGATACCCCATAAAATTCTTCCTGATTATTTTCCCAATACTTGACAGAGAATGCACGTGAGAGACACTCGTCTGCACTTAGTACCTCCTGGCTGTCTCATTTCTTGACTATCGGTACAGCATTAATAATGTTCAAGCTTTTAGAGAGCTCCCCACTGTCTAATGTTGCGTTTGGATTCCATTTCGTAGGTTACACACCATTCTTCTTTCCTCCTTCAGTAGCCAAGGTGATATTTGGAGTGTCATAATGTCTTGCTAATGTCGTATTCCATCAGGTGTTTCTTTGTCTCCGCCTCCGTGCCCCCGTGTTAGGTCTCCTCCTCCGTGAGTCCGTGTCAGGTCTCCTCCTCCGTGAGTCCGTGTCAGGTCTCCTCCTCCGTGACTCCGTGTCAGGTCTCCTTCTCCGTGACTCCGTGTCAGGTCTCCTTCTCCGTGACTCCGTGTCAGGTCTCCTCCTCCGTGCCCCCGTGTCAGGTCTCCTCCTCCGTGCCCCCGTGTCAGGTCTCCTCCTCCGTGCCCCCGTGTCAGGTCTCCATCACCCACAGGACGTATAGCACCTCCTGCCACATTCTCCCACACCTCCTGTGACGACATGTGACCACATTCTCATACTAGACTAGTGGATAGACTCAACTTGAGTCTATCCACTTAGTTAATTACTTCGTCGTCCCTCGTTGCTGGCCAATAGCTTGGGCTGATATTTAGTGTTTCTTTATGGTATTGACAGTTTCTCTGCTTATGATTTGACTCTTGTATTCTCTTTTTCTGGACCCTTAATATCTCCAGGTTCGCCTCCGTGCTCTGGTTCCTGTACTTTGTCTATGTCACTTTATTTCTGTGCTTGGTCTAGTTAAGCCGTTGGACGTGATGGTGCGAGAGTAGTAATGGTTCCCCCCAGCAGGTGCGACTGTAGTAATGGTCCGCTCACCTGCAGGTGCAAGAGTAATGAAGGTCCCTCACCTGCAGGTGCAAGAGTAATGAAGGTCCCTCACCTGCAGGTGCAAGAGTAATGAAGGTCCCTCACCTGCAGGTGCAAGAGTAATGAAGGTCCCTCACCTGCAGGTACTGTACATGTCCAACAACCTGGTGAAGGATTGGTCTGAGTTTATGAAGCTGAGTGAAGTGCCCACACTGGAGGAGCTGAACTTTGTTGGTGAGTATTCACCTCACTCTCTCATCATCATAGGCCCCCTCACCTCTCATACACACCCATTACCCCTCACCATTCACTTTGTCATCAACACATTTAGGTACATTTGCGTGTATACGGCTACCCTGGACTATATGAAAGGGAGCACAGAGTGCGTCAAGAACCAGCTACGTGATGCTAACAGTCCCCACCACACAGGATGGTTAGTCGTACAGGGCCATGTGATCAGTAGTCTACACTGGCAACCTCTGGAGGCATTATGAGGATATCCTCAAGAACACGAGAGGTAATAAAGTGACTGCAGAGCTCCAGGTACCTCACGCCGGCAGGTGTGAAGGGTCTAGTAACTGGGCACTCAATAAAGTAGTGTGGGAGATCATGCCGCAGTTCCTGCTCCTAGAGTTTGCACGTGGAGTGCTCAGGATTGGGAGATCCGTCACCTGTAGCCACCTGCCACAGGTAACGGTAACCCAACCTGATCCTGGCAACCACTGTGTCGCACAGTCTGGTCCACGGTTTGTGCTGCCCATATTCATATGTATTAGATTTGAACAAATAACAGCTTTATATACTGGTGCTTTTAGGCCTTTGGGAGTCAGCAATTTCTCTCCTATTAGAGCTGAGTGTTTGGAACAATATAGTCGTGACAACAAAGATAGGGATACATAGGTCTACTTCACTTTCATTCTTGTTACACGCTAATTTGGCTGCAATGGCTGTGTCAGTATGTTGGGTTATATTTATGTGTGATGGTGTCCATGAGTTTCTAAACATTTTATTCTGATCAGCGAGCTGGTTATTGGAAATTGTTAATATGAGGCTCATGCTGTCCCACCCACCCCTCACCACCCACCCCCTCACCACCCACCCCTCACCACCCACCCCTCACCACCCACCCCCTCACCACCCACCCCTCACCAGCCACCCCTCACCATCCACGCCTCACCACCCACCCCTCACCACCCACCCCTCACCCCTCACCTCCTCACCACCCACCCCTCACCATCCACCCCTCACCATCCACCCCCTCACCATCCACGCCTCACCACCCATCCACCCCCTCACCACCCACCCCTCACCACCCACCCCTCACCACCCACCCCCCACACCCCCCACACCACCCACCCCTCACCACCCACCCCCTCACCACCCACCCCTCACCACCCACCCCCCCTCACCACCCACCCCCTCACCACCCACCCCCTCACCACCCACCCCCTCACCACCCACCCCCTCACCACCCACCCCCTCACCACCCACCCCTCACCACCCACCCCTCACCACCCACCCCTCACCACCCACCCCCTCACCACCCACCCCTCACCACCCACCCCCTCACCACCCACCCCCTCACCACCCACCCCTCACCACCCACCCCTCACCACCCACCCCCCCACCCCCCCCTCACCACCCACCCCCTCACCACCCACCCCCCTCACCACCCACCCCCTCACCACCCACCCCTCACCACCCACCCCTCACCACCCACCCCTCACCCCCACCCCCTCACCACCCACCCCTCACCACCCACCCCCTCACCACCCACCCCTCACCACCCACCCCCACCACCCACCCTCACCACCCACCCCTCACCACCCACCCCCTCACCACCCACCCCTCACCACCCACCCCTCACCCCCTCCCCCACCCCCTCACCACCCACCCCTCACCACCCACCCCTCACCACCCACCCCTCACCACCCACCCCCTCACCACCCACCCCTCACCACCCACCCCCTCACCACCCACCCCCTCACCACCCACCCCCTCACCACCCACCCCTCACCACCCACCCCTCACCACCCACCCCCTCACCACCCACCCCTCACCACCCACCCCCCCACCCACCCCCTCACCACCCACCCCTCACCACCCACCCCCTCACCACCCCCCCTCACCACCCACCCCCTCACCACCCACCCCCTCACCACCCACCCACCCCCTCACCACCCACCCCTCACCACCCACCCCCTCACCACCCACCCCCTCACCACCCACCCCCTCACCACCCACCCCCTCACCACCCACCCCTCACCACCCACCCCTCACCACCCACCCCCTCACCACCCACCCCTCACCACCCACCCCCTCACCACCCACCCCCTCACCACCCACCCCCTCACCACCCACCCCTCACCACCCACCCCCTCACCACCCACCCCCTCACCACCCACCCTCACCCCTCACCACCCCACCCCTCACCACCCACCCCCTCACCACCCACCCCTCACCACCCACCCCCTCACCACCCACCCCTCACCACCCACCCCCTCACCACCCACCCCCTCACCACCCACCCCTCACCACCCACCCCTCACCACCCACCCCTCACCACCCACCCCTCACCACCCACCCCTCACCACCCACCCCCTCACCACCCACCCCCTCACCACCCACCCCTCACCACCACCCCCACACCCCCACCCCTCACCACCCACCCCCTCACCACCCACCCCCTCACCACCCACCCCCTCACCACCCACCCCCTCACCACCCACCCCTCACCACCCACCCCCTCCACCCACCCCTCCCACCCACCCCCTCACCCACCCCCTCACCACCCACCCCCTCACCACCCACCCCTCACCACCCACCCCCTCACCACCCACCCCACCACCACCCACCCCACACCACCCACCCCCTCACCACCCACCCCTCACCACCCACCCCTCACCACCCACCCCCTCACCACCCACCCCTCACCACCCACCCCCACACCACCCACCCCCACACCACCCACCCCTCACCACCCACCCCCCTCACCACCCACCCCCACACCACCCACCCCCTCACCACCCACCCCCTCACCACCCACCCCCTCACCACCCACCCCACCACACCACCCACCCCCCCTCACACCACCCACCCCTCACCACCCACCCCTCACCACCCACCCCCTCACCACCCCCCCCCTCACCACCCACCCCCACCCACCCCCTCACCACCCACCCCTCACACCACCCACCCCTCACCACCCACCCCTCACCACCCACCCCCTCCCCCTCCACCCACCCCCACACCACCCACCCCTCACCACCCACCCCCTCACCACCCACCCCCACACCACCCACCCCCTCACCACCCACCCCCTCACCACCCACCCCCTCACCACCCACCCCCTCACCACCCACCCCCTCACCACCCACCCACCCCCCCCTCACCACCCACCCCCTCACCACCCACCCCCTCACCCACCACCACCCCCCTCACCACCCACCCCCTCACCACCCACCCCTCACCACCCACCCCCCCTCACCACCCACCCCTCACCACCCACCCCCTCACCACCCACCCCCTCACCACCCACCCCTCACCACCCACCCCTCACCACCCACCCCTCACCACCCCACCACCCACCCCTCACCACCCACCCCCTCACCACCCACCCCTCACCACCCACCCCCTCACCCCCACCCCTCACCACCCACCCCCTCACCACCCACCCCTCACCACCCACCCCCTCACCACCCACCCCCACCACCACCCACCCCCTCACCACCCACACCCCACCCCTCACCCCCCACCCCTCACCACCCACCCCCTCACCACCCACCCCCTCACCACCCACCCCTCACCACCCACCCCCTCACCACCCACCCCTCACCACCCTCACCACCCACCCCTCACCACCCACCCCCTCACCACCCACCCCCTCACCACCCACCCCTCACCACCCACCCCTCACCACCCACCCCCTCACCACCCACCCCCTCACCACCCACCCCCACACCACCCACCCCCTCACCACCCACCCCCTCACCACCCCCCCCACCCCTCACCACCCACCCCCTCACCACCCACCCCCTCACCACCCCCCCTCACCACCCACCCCCCACCACCCACCCCTCACCACCCACCCCTCACCACCCACCCCCTCACCCACCCACCCACCCCTCACCACCCACCCCTCACCACCCACCCCCTCACCACCCACCCCTCACCACCCACCCCCTCCACCCCCCCTCACCACCCACCCCCACCACCCACCCCCTCACCCCCACCCCTCACCACCCACCCCCTCACCACCCACCCCTCACCACCCACCCCTCACCACCCACCCCCTCACCACCCACCCCCTCACCACCCACCCCCACCCCCTCACCACCCACCCCTCACCACCCACCCCCCTCACCACCCACCCCCTCACCACCCACCCCCTCACCACCCACCCCCTCACCACCCACCCCCTCACCACCCACCCCCCACCACCCCACCCCTCACCACCCACCCCTCACCACCCACCCCCTCACCACCCACCCCTCACACCACCCACCCCCTCACCACCCACCCCCTCACCACCCACCCCCTCACCACCCACCCCTCACCACCCACCCCCACCCACCCACCCCCTCACCACCCACCCCCTCACCACCCACCCCCCACCACCCACCCCCTCACCACCCACCCCTCACCACCACCCCCTCACCACCCACCCCTCACCACCCCCCCCTCACCACCCACCCCTCACCACCCACCCCCTCACCACCCACCCCCTCACCACCCACCCCCCCTCACCACCCCCCCTCACCACCCACCCCCTCACCACCCACCCCCTCACCACCCACCCCCTCACCACCCACCCCCACCACCCCCCCCCCTCACCACCCACCCCCCACCCACCCACCCCTCACCACCCACCCCCCCACCCCCACCCCCCACCCCCACCCCTCACCACCCACCCCCTCACCACCCCCCCCTCACCACCCACCCCTCACCACCCACCCCTCACCACCCACCCACCCCTCACCACCCACCCCTCACCACCCACCCCTCACCACCCACACCACCCACCCCTCACCCCCACCACCACCCTCACCACCCCCCCTCACCCCCACCCCTCACCACCCCCTCACCACCCACCCCTCACCACCCACCCCTCACCACCCACCCCTCACCACCCCCCCTCACCACCCACCCCCCCCCACCCCCCCCACCCACCCCCTCACCACCCACCCCCCACCCCCCACCCCTCACCACCCACCCCTCACCACCACCCCCCCCACCCCACCCCTCACCACCCACCCCTCACCACCCACCCCACCACCACCCACCCCTCACCACCCACCCCCCACCACCCACCCCCTCACCACCCACCCCTCACCACCCACCCCCTCACCCCTCCCACCCCCACCACCCACCCCACCACCCACCCCCACCCCCCACCCCACCACCACCCCCTCACCACCCACCCCTCACCCCCCCCCCCCACCACCCACCCCCACCACCACCCCTCCCACCCACCACCCACCCCCCCTCACCACCCACCCCCTCACCACCCACCCCTCACCACCCACCCCCTCACCACCCACCCCTCACCACCCACCCCTCACCACCCACCCCCACCACCCACCCCTCACCACCCACCCCTCACCACCCACCCTCACCCCCCACACCCCCCCCTCACCACCCACCCCTCACCACCCACCCCTCACCACCCACCCCCTCACCACCCACCCCCCCTCACCACCCACCCCTCACCACCCACCCCCTCACCACCCACCCCTCACCACCCCACCCCCTCACCACCACCCCCCTCACCACCCACCCCTCACCACCCACCCCCCACCACCCACCCCCACACCACCCACCCCTCACCACCCACCCACCCCCCCACCACCCACCCCCCCCTCACCACCCACCACCACCCCACCCCCCTCACCACCCACCCCCCCACCACTCACCACACCACCCCCACCCCTCACCACCCACCCCTCACCACCCACCCCCTCACCACACCACCCACCCCTCACCACCCACCCCTCACCACCCACCCCTCCCCACCCACCCCCTCACCACCCACCCCCTCACCACCCTCCCCACCCACCACCACCCCTCACCACCCCCCCCTCACCACCCACCCCTCACCACCCACCCCCACCCCACCCACCCCCACACCACCCACCCCTCACCACCCACCCCCTCACCACCCACCCCCTCACCACCCACCCCTCACCCACCCCACCCCCCACCCCACCACCCACCCCCACACCACCCACCCCCTCACCACCCACCCCACACCATCCACCCCCTCACCACCCACCCCCTCACCACCCACCCCTCACCACCCACCCCCTCACCACCCACCCCTCACCACCCACCCCTCACCACCCACCCCCTCACCACCCACCCCTCACCACCCACCCCCACACCACCCACCCCCTCACCACCCACCCCTCACCACCCACCCCCACACCACCCACCCCCACACCATCCACCCCTCACCACCCACCCCCACACCACCCACCCCCACACCATCCACCCCTCACCACCCACCCCCTCACCACCCACCCCCACACCACCCACCCCTCACCACCCACCCCCACACCACCCACCCCCTCACCACCCACCCCTCACCACCCACCCCCTCACCACCCACCCCTCACCACCCACCCCTCACTCCGGCACTCTGAACGACCCCAATGATAACCACATAAGCAAGATAAGAGCTCACTAAGCTGGTCTCGACAGTCTTAAGAAGCCTGACACGTACTGCGTCTAGTCTGGAGACTTGTTGCACTTGAACATTCATCTTTGCTTAATAACTGCCTCTCTGATAACCACTTAACTATTCCACTTACCCACATAACCACCTACTGAACTACGGGCTCACCATAGCCCGTGCTACTTGGAACTGCTTGTTCCAAGTAGCGAATCTTTAACAACATCAACAACCTACTGAAGATTTGTTCAGCTGCAGATAAAATATAAAGTTATTTGTCAGTAAATATAGATACAAAGTAATTATTTAGAATACCCTTAATCCTTGCCAGTTACCTCACGTGTCTACGCCTGCACTTCATAATTTGGTTAACATTTTCTTATAATTGTTAACTCTTTTTGAGAGTCTGATAAATTGTTGTTCTAGAACAGTGATTCTCAATCTTGTTCGTTTAAAGGAACCCTTGAGATATTGCGTAAAATTTCGGGTAGGCCTACCTGGCCGACACGTAAGGTTCGACAAAAGTAAATTACAAAAAGATATGAGTAAATTTACTCTTCGATAAGAGTAAATTTAATCATACTTTTGTATAAAATATTACAAGAGAATGTTTTGTCAATGTTTATATACTATGCAGGCGATGAGTCACAATAACGTGGCTGAAGTATGTTGACCAGACCACACACTAGAAGTTGAAGGGACGACGACGTTTCGGTCCGTCCTGAACCATTCTCAAGTCGATTGTGACTTGAGAATGATTTAGTATAATTTATATACTAATTACTGTTTACACAAACATGACAAACATTTTCCATTTACAGCTGGCTCACTGGTTACAAACATTGTATAGAAATTTTGTAATGATTTTGCGTTAAATATAATGTTTGTTTATACACAGCAATTCATTATCAATACATAGTCAAGCAATATATTAATACTTCACTCATGTGCTTCAATGTTTCTCATTGCAAGAGAAATGTAACATTTCTCCTCCCAAGTCAACTCCTCGCTGCTTAAATAATAATTATCACGCTAATATTTTGTTATTAAGAGTGTTGGTGTGGGCGTCAGGTAACCCGCTGGAGGAGAAGTACTCGGGCGAGGGCACCTGGAGGACGGAGGTGGAGCGCAAGCTCACCTGGCTCAAGAAACTCGACGGCCTCCCCATCATCCGCGATGTTGACGAAGAGCTGATCCTTGAGCAGCAGCAGAGCAGGAAGGACTCTATAGCGGAGCCCACTCCTGCCCCTTAAGACCACCACATCAGATCCGGCTGCTAAGACAGCCAGAGCGGACCGGACTCCTGCCTCATATCTCAGCCATGGCGGACTGGACCCTTGCCTCCTAAATCAGTAGAAGGACTTGTTACAACTTACGTCCTCCTTCTAGCTTCCCATGGATGCTAGAAATAAACTCTTCTCGACCCATGGGTTGAAGGGACCCATCCCCCACTTAATAGTCCAAGAATAGGACTTCGTAGGCTCCCCCTCCAAATCCTAGTACGATAAAGGGACCCCCAAGGACTTTCCTTAGCCCATCAAAACTCAGTCTATTTCTCTCAACTTCCTAGAACAGAGGTGGGACTGTGAATCTCGACCACCACCAGTTTCAGGTCACCGGTGGCGCCCCTTTCACTGTCAAGTCTAATAGGACCATATGGACTCCTCCGCCACCTAGTCCAGCAGGACTACACGGACTACTCTTCCACAATTGTACTCTAGTAATCCATATTCTGGGGCTAGATTCACGAAGCAGTTACGCAAGTACTTACGAACGTGTACATCTTTCCTCAATCTTTGACGGCTTTGGTTACATTTATTAAACAGCTTACAAACATGAAAACTTCCCAATCAACTGTTGTTATTGTTATAAACAGCCTCCTGGTGCTTTGGATCTCATTAACTGTTTAATTAACTGTAAACTAAGTCGCCAAAGATTGAGAAAAGATGTACAGGTTCGTAAGTGCTTGCGTAACTTCTTCGTGAATCTGGCTCCTGGCCTTTAGGCCTTGTAGAAATACTTCAGGAATTCTATGGTAAGAATTGTTGTATTTTACTCCTCTTATACTTGTGGACCATGTGGAACATGTCCACATGGTCCACTCTCCCTCCACCGCCTGCACCACAGCCTCCACCTCCATGTGTGCAACAAGTCCACCATCCCTGACAGGTACTCCCCTCCCATCTTGGGAGAGCCATAACTGGCTCACTAATTATCCAGAACAACAGCTGATTTCACCGTCGGAAGATCCGATAGCTTAACATAGTTTATGAGATTCTTTTTTATTTAATCTCATTAACAAATTTATTTGATATAATATAAATCAAATGTTCAACTTTAATGTAATAAAGAGCCTGACATGTTTAGTTAAGTTACATGTGTTGAGTATCTATTATTATATCAGTATAGATAGTTTTACTTTCTCTCCACCTCACTCACGTATAATGAATGAACAACAATGACTGTCGCAATAGTTTATACCTCGCTGGCTGGCTCTTAATGATCCGGGGGTCCTGGTTCACTGTAGTTAGCACAGCCTTCCTTCTCCAGGTGATTAAGTCGAATGTAACCACTGTAACTGCCTGCAGTGGTTGTGTTCTGATCCATACCACAGTAACCAATCACTTCCCCGTACCGGTAGACGGTGGTGTGGTTGATGTCAGTTCGGTGTACAAGGAATGGTGTTCGGTGGCTGACTGGCGTGCTCTCCTGCAGTTCCCGGGTCGCCCCGACACATGTGTCAGCAGGTGGTGCTGACAGACATGAGCGCGTCAGCCAGGTACCACTGTAGAAAGTGGGCTGCTGAGTGGCTGGTGGTGGTGGTTAGTGTGTGTAATTGTTATGGTGGTTAAGTGAGGGAGGCTGGGGGGGGGGGGGGCTCTCACGGGCTGAGGCGTGACAGTGAGCTGAACACTGCTGCACCCTCACTGTCACTGTTACTACCATGCACCACTGATACTACCATGCACCACTGATACTACCATGCACCACTGATACTACCATGCACCACTGATACTACCATGCACCACTGATACTACCATTCACCACTGATACTACCATGCACCACTGATACTACCATGCACCACTGTTACTACCATGCACCACTGATACTACCATACACCACTGATACTACCATGCACCACTGATACTACCATGCACCACTGATACTACCATGCACCACTGATACTACCATACACCACTGATACACTACCATACACCACTGATACTACCATACACCACTGATACTACCATGCACCACTGATACTACCATACACCACTGATACTACCATACACCACTGATACTACCATACACCACTGATACTACCATGCACCACTGATACTACCATGCACCACTGATACTACCATGCACCACTGTTACTACCATGCACCACTGATACTACCATGCACCACTGATACTACCATGCACCACTGATACTACCATGCACCACTGATACTACCATGCACCACTGATACTACCATGCACCACTGATACTACCATGCACCACTGATACTACCATGCACCACTGATACTACCATACACCACTGATACTACCATGCACCACTGATACTACCATACACCACTGATACTACCATGCACCACTGATACTACCATACACCACTGATACTACCATGCACCACTGATACTACCATACACCACTGATACTACCATGCACCATTATATATGATCATCCAGAAGGTATGAGTCATTCCTCTCAATGTTTGCTGGTGATGTTAAAATTATGCGAGGGAGTAAGACAGAGGAGGACGGCACGAGGCTACAGGATGTCCTGGGCAGATTGAGGAATGATCCAACAAATGTTTAGAGTTTAACTCTTGTAGTCGTGTTGATGTTCAGTTTGTAGTGGAAATGTTGGATAGGGTAGAAGTGGCACAAGAATTTATTGATTGGATCCGTATGCTTTACAGTGTCGGAGAAGCGTGTGTATCAATGGTGTCTTGAGTATACCATTTTCAATAGTTGTACCAGGGATGTCCCCTTTCAATGATTGTATATGTTATATTTCAAGAGCCACTTTACTTGGCAATGAAACGCAATGACTTTATTGTTTCACCTTGTTTTCCCAATGTTGTGATACTTCCAGTTGTCGGCTATGCAGACGATGCCACTACTTGTGTGTCGACACAAGACTCAGTGGTGAATGTTCAGGATGAGTTAGACAACTTTGAGAGGGCAACAGGTGCTGTCATTAACAAGAACAAAACTGGTATGATGGGGCTTGGCAGTTGGTGTAATAAAGTTACCTGGACAGGTTCATGGTTCAAAGTAGTGGAGTCTATTAAAGCTCTTGGGATTTGCTGGTGTAAAATATATGGAACAACATTGGTTACGAATTGGCAAGTATTATGTGGAAATATAACAGCAGTTACGAATATGTTGTCAGATAGAAAATTAACCCTGTCTCAGAAGGCTGTAGTAATCAATTGCACAATTTGGTCTAAAGTGTGGTATTTGTCTCACAGTTTTCCAACTGATAAGAAAATTGCTGTGGAGTGACAAAACTGTTTATAGATATGTATGGTATGGTAGAGACCAACCAATTAACGGACTACACTATGTAAAGGTAAGAAAGACGGTGGAATAGGGAGACTGTGTACCATAAGTCATTGGCTATCTTATGTGTTACCTTTAGAAAGGAAATAATACAAAGGTAAAAGGTAAGGTAGTGTAAATACTTTAGGGGATTATTTTTGTAAAATACGTGTTACCTACTTTATACATATGCCAGAGTATACTGACCTTACCTTTATACATACGCCAGAGTATACTGACCTTACCTTTATACATACGTCAGAGTATACTGACCTTACCTTTATACATACGTCAGAGTATATTGATCTTACCTTTATACATACGCCAGAGTATACTGACCTTACCTTTATACATACGCCAGAGTATACTGACCTTACCTTTATACATACGTCAGAGTATATTGATCTTACCTTTATACATACGCCAGAGTATACTGACCTTACCTTTATACATACGTCAGAGTATACTGACCTTACCTTTATACATACGCCAGAGTATACTGACCTTACCTTTATACATACGCCAGAGTATACTGACCTCACCTTTATACATACGCCAGAGTATACTGACCTTACCTTTATACATACGCCAGAGTATACTGACCTTACCTTTATACATACGCCAGAGTATACTGACCTTACCTTTATACATACGGCAGAGTATACTGACCTTACCTTTATACATACGCCAGAGTATACTGACCTTACCTTTATACATACGCCAGAGTATACTGACCTTTCCTTTATACATACGTCAGAGTATACTGACCTTATCTTTATACATACGTCAGAGTATACTGACCTTACCTTTATACATACGTCAGAGTATACTGACCTTACCTTTATACATACGTCAGAGTATACTGACCTTACCTTTATACATACGTCAGAGTATACTGACCTTACCTTTATACATACGCCAGAGTATACTGACCTTACCTTTATACATACGCCAGAGTATACTGACCTTACCTTTATACATACGTCAGAGTATACTGACCTTACCTTTATACATACGCCAGAGTATACTGACCTTACCTTTATACATACGCCAGAGTATACTGACCTTACCTTTATACATACGCCAGAGTATACTGACCTTACCTTTATACATACGTCAGAGTATACTGACCTTACCTTTATACATACGCCAGAGTATACTGACCTTACCTTTATACATACGCCAGAGTATACTGACCTTACCTTTATACATACGCCAGAGTATACTGACCTTACCTTTATACATACGCCAGAGTATACTGACCTTACCTTTATACATACGCCAGAGTATACTGACCTTACCTTTATACATACGTCAGAGTATACTGACCTTACCTTTATACATACGTCAGAGTATACTGACCTTACCTTTATACATACGCCAGAGTATACTGACCTTACCTTTATACATACGCCAGAGTATACTGACCTTACCTTTATACATACGCCAGAGTATACTGACCTTACCTTTATACATACGCCAGAGTATACTGACCTTACCTTTATACATACGTCAGAGTATACTGACCTTACCTTTATACATACGCCAGAGTATACTGACCTTACCTTTATACATACGCCAGAGTATACTACCATGCACCACTGTCACTACTTCTAGTGACACTGATAGTGTGTGGTCTGGTCAACTTGTATTCGTGTGCAGTTAATGTTCTCAGGCGGATTTGTAATGTTGAAGTTTTGTTTTAATGATGAAGAGTAAAGACGTGTATGATGTTCTACTGCCACATATAGTTCCTAGAGTAGAGGAGGCATATCCACTCTTTAACTGGCGAGTAAGATGGGCGAACCTTCATGTTAAATTTATTACCCCAAAACAATGTAAACTATTGTATCGTTATATTCATGAGACCCTCCCTACTAACGAAGCCCAACCACTTATGCTGGACGGTAGAGCATGCATGCATTACTACTCGCTTCATGCAGGTCGGCGTTCAATCCCCGACCGTCCAAGTGGTTGGGAACCATTCCTTCCCCCACCGTCCCATCCCCAAATTCTTAGCCTGATCCCCTTCCAAGTCCTATATAGTCATAATGGCTTAGCGCTTTCTCCTCATAACTCCCTCCGTCCCTACTAATAATAGGTTGTTGATGTTGGGCATTAAGGACAACAAAAGGTGTGACCAATGTACTGAAACTGAGAATAATAATATGCATATATTTTGTTTCTGTAAGCAGGAAGTTGTTCTTGTAAACTGGATTACAGA